ATTCTCTGGTTTAGTCTCTGCTGTTTTGTTAACATTTTGCTTACTTTGTTGTCTACTGACTATAGTAAAAAAATATGGTAGAATGGATAGGACTTATGGCTTGCATTTTTAAGATTTTTTAAATTGAGAAATAGTTCACATACCATAAAAGTCATCCTTTTAAGGAGTATGATTCACTGCCTTCCAGTATGTTTAGAGATGTGCACCCATAACCATTATCTAATCCCAGAACATTTTCATGGGATTCACTCTCAAAAGAAACATCATACTTGTTAACAGTCATTCTCCATTCTGCCCTTCCCCAGCTTCTGGCCCCATGAATCTACTTCTGTCTGTGGACTTTTAGCTTTCATATAAATAGAATCACACAATGTGTAGCCTTTTGTGTCTGGCTTATTTCAGTTAACACAGTGTTTTTGAAGTTCATCCATGTTGTAGTATGTATTAGTGTTCCATTCCTTATTATGGCTAAATAATAGTCCATTGTATGCATATACCACACTTACCTATTCATCATTTGGACATTTGGATTGTTTCCACTTTTTGGCTAGTATGAATACTGCTGTGAACATTCATGTACAAATTTATGTGTGGACCGATGTGTTCATTTCTCTTGGGTATGTACCTAAGAGTGGAATTCCTGGGTCATACAGTAACTCACTTTTTGAGGAACTATCAAACTGTTTTCTTTAGTGCTACACCATTTTACAGCCACCAGCCGTGTATGAGGGTGCTAAATTTTCCACATACTCCCCAACTCTTCTTGTTGTCCCATCTTTTTCATTAGAGCTATCCCAGTGGGAGTGAAGTAGTTTCTTGTTGTAGTTTTGATTTGCATTTTTCTTTTGACTGATGATGTTGAGCTGTTTTTATGGCTGTTCTCCTTATCCTCTCTGGGAAGAAAATGTCTATTAAAATTCTATGTCCATTTTTAAATGGGGTTATTTGTCTTGTTGGCTTGTAACAATTCTTTATATATTCTGTGTACTAGATCTTATCTGACATATGACTTGTAAATATTTTTTCCCATCCTGTGGGTTATCTTTTTCACTTTGTTGGTAGTGTTTGAAGCACAAGAGTTTTTAGTTTTGATAAAGTCCAGTTGAACAAGTGAAGGGATTATTTACTTTTGTTGCTTATGCTTTTGATATAAGGTCGAGAATGCTCTCGTTTTCTTCCAGGGATTTGATTGTTTTGGCTCTTATATTTAGGTCTTCATTCCATTTTGAGTTAATTTTTATATATGGTATGATTCCTTTGCATGTGGATATCTGGTTATTCCAGCACCATTTGTTGAATATGGCATTCTTTTTGATTCCTCTTTTCCCTTTGCCACCAATCTAGATACTTAACATTAATTGCGCATGAAACTGCAAGACGATAGAATAAGACTGGAATATACAGTTTACAATAAGAACCTGTCTTCCTTCAGGACTTCTGTCTAATTGAGATGGATGATAGGATTATATATAAAATTATTGAGTGGCATATGATTCACTGCCAGAGGAATGGTGGAGAGAACAGAATTTATTAGGAATTGAAAAGACTGAGTAAATGAACAGAGAGTTTATATTATAGAGGAGATGAAGCTTTTGAGGTTAGGTAAGGTTTAGACACAGAAATGGCCAGAGTAGAACTACTCAAGCAGTTAGATTCTTTAGGCCCCAAGGTATGTATGGAATACCTTTTAGACAGATTTTGAACTAGCCACCCAGGTGCCCCTTCTAGGTTTCTTTTCTTGAAACTTGAGAGAAACTGTTCTTGTGTTGGTCACTGATCACTTCCACACTATAAATCCAGTGGTCAGCTCTGAGACCACATCTTACTTAACATAGCAGAGCATTTGATACACTTGGTTACTTCTTCCTCCTAGATACATTTTCTTTACTTGGCTGCCACAGAACCACTGTGATACTTGGTTATTCTCCTACGTCACAGTGTTTCAGTTAGTCTTCTTTTCCAGTTCCACTTAAATGTGGTCTCATAAACTTGGAGTTTCCAAGATTCTCCTCTTTTACTACTTTTTTGCGTCTGTACTAACTCTTTTGATGATTTCATTTACTTAGCCTCATGGCTTTAAGTATCATCTGCGTGCCGGTGACTCACAAATTTATATATCCAGCCCTCGTTTTGCTCTTGAACTCCAAGTTTATATATCTCACTCCTCTTCATGTGCACTGGGGTGACTACTCACATATCAAATTTAACAAGCTGAAACTGAACTCTTTGTCTATTCTTCCTCTCATACCTGCTCAGCTTTTAATCTTTATCATTCTAATTGAAGACAACTCCATCTTTCTAGTTGACTTAAGCTAAAAAGTTTGGAGTCATCCTTAAGTCCTTTTCTTTCCTCATACTCTGTCAGGACATCCTGTTGGCTTTACCCTCAGAATATATCCAGAATCCAGCCGCTTCTCACCACCTTCACATCTAACACCCTGGGCCGAGCCACTGTCCTTTCATCTAGATTGCTGCCACAAACTCCTGACTTCTCTTCCTGCTTCTGTTCTGATAACTCCTGTCCTTAGCCAGATTGGCCATACCAAACTGTCGTGTCAGTGTATGTGTCTGCTCTGCTCAAAACCTTGCAGTGGATAGCCCTTTCACTCAAAATAAAATCTAAGAAGTCCTTACAATGACAAAAAGGCCCTGCAAGATCAGGACCCCCATTGTCTTTTGAACATTTTCTCTTTTTCTTTGCCAGACATCTACTTGAACCACACTGGCTTCTTTGCTGTTCCTTGAGTAATCTAGGTATATTTCCTAGATTTTGCTCCCTTATCCCGGAATGCTTTCCTCTGAAGGGGTGGAAACAATTTTTCCTCTAACCTTGTGAGTTCTTGGCTGAGACCCCTCTAATAAAAGGCAGATTAACAAGAGAAAAACAGTTTATTAACATGTATACCTCATGTATATGTGGGAGGTTCCTGGAGAAAAATGAGCAACTCAAAGAGGTGGCTTAGTGTTCAGGAAAGGTGTGGGAAGACCAGTTTATCAGGAAAAGCACAGTAAATAAGAGTAAGGTTTGTTATGCAGATATAAGTCTGAACCCTCTTTGATAAGTTTCTTATGATTTAGAGCCATTCTTCTCTTCGTGGTATAGAGAGGGAAACATTCTTTCTTACTGATGGAGATTTCTCTTGTAAATGTAAATTTCCCTTACAAAAGGGTAACTTACACTCTGTTTTCATTGTTTTTCCTGTATCTGCTGTTTCTAATAATAATACACTCAAAATAATCCTTATGCCAAAGAAGCTAATTTTAGGGTTGGCAGATTATGCTATCCTTCAACCTCCACAGTTGCCCCAAGGCCGGTTCTCTCATTTCTTTCACGTATTTACTTGAAGTATATACCACTTTCTCAGTGAGGACCGTAATGTTCACTCTGTTTAAGATTGTAATTCTTCAGCTCAGATACACTCCCCATCACTTCTACACGATTTCTTTCTCCCCCAGTAACATATATCATTTTTTGTTATACTGTGTATAATTGATATTTTGTGTTTATCTTGCTCACCAGAAGGTATGTTTTAAGGCAGAGAGAGATACTTGGTGGTTTTACTTCACTCCTATACCTGTCACGTAATGAGTTCTCTCTAAATATTTATTGAATGAATGAACATCCTAGGGCTGCTGTACTTTTGGGGTTCTTGTTTGGATTCTTGGGCCCCATCCCAGAGCTCTTGAGTTAGAAACTAGAAACTGGGGGTGGGGGGGGTCCAACTCCTTTATTTTAACTAGACCTTCAGATGGTTCTGATGTAAATTAAAGTTAAAGAACCACTGCTATATTCATAGTGAGTAGGGGTTTCAAAGCCAGGCCTGTTACTCACAGGTGGGGATACATGTAGATGTATGAAGTAATTGACAAATGTGACTCAATTTGTTCTCTCTTCCTTCCATCTTCTTTTCCTCCCTTTCTTCTGAGGACGGGTAGCACTGGGAAAGAGGATTTAAACTGTAGTAACTTTGAGTTGATTCATCATGGGTATCAAGGTCCCCAAGACCACCTTTAGATTCCAGTGATCACTAGGAGGACACATAGAACTCAGAACGTAGTCCCATTCATGGCTAAGGTTCCTTATAGCAAGAGGGTACGAAGCAAAATCAACCAGGGGAAAAGGCTCATGGGGCAAAGTCCAGAGGAAGCCAGGAAAAAATTTCCAAGAGTCCTCTCTCAGTGGAGTGTCACACGGGCAGGGCACATTTCATTCCTCCAGCCTCAAACTGGAGCAGGTGTGAAGTGCTGTCTACCAGGGAGGCTCTCGAGAGAGAGGTAGTGGCTCAGGGTGTTTATTGGGGACTGGTCATATAGGTACTCTTTGCCTTAGCACATGCCACAATTCTAGACTCTCATAAGGAAAGTGGGAGTTCGTTATAAACCACATTGTATACTTTAGGGCACAGTAAGCCCCTCTTATCAGTTAGGGTGGTGGGAACCCTTATAAGAATGGCTCACTGAACCTTATACATGGGGATACGATAACTCTTTCTGCTGGGTTCATGCTTTTCAACATGGTATCCAAAGAAATTTGTTGGGGTTTTTTTTCTATCTTTTATATAGAATATAAAGCCTTTGGACTAAATAATCTCTCTTTAGGAAATTTAGTAACGATGAACCTGTTTTGAGAATGATTTGAACTGTTTTTAAGTGGATTGAATAACTGAGTTTATTCACCTAGATGTATTTTTTGAAAAATGCCTTGGTAGTAGTATTCACATTCTGTGCTATTTTGGTAATTACAGAAGTGGTTGATTTCCTAGTAAAGTTTTCATATTTATTCCAAAAAACAAATTAAGATAGCTTTCTTAGCATTCACTTGAAAAATGTTATCTGTGAGTGTGACCATCTGCTGTTTCAAAGCAGATATTTGTTTTTCTTCACTTTTCTTCCAACTCTCATGTTCTAAAGGGCCTGTTTGAAATTTGCTGTCTTTTGGTTTTGCTTTCATGAGTAACCAGTCTTCCTTCCTTCTTTCTTTCTTTCTTTCTTTTTTATAGGCCAAGATGCTGAATTATCAGGGACACTTTCACTTGTTTTGACACAATGCTGTAAAAGAATAAAGGATACTGTTCAGAAATTGGCCTCAGACCACAAAGACATCCACAGCAGTGTTTCGCGTGTTGGAAAAGCCATTGATAAGGTATGGTGTTGAAGGAAGTGTTTGGGAGTTTTAAAAATCATCATGCTTCATCTCCTGTCACTGTTTGATAACATCTGCTTTCTCCAATTATTTTATGCTATTCCTTTCATGCTTTTAGTAACTTTCACAAATCTGGTTTTATTACATTCTTAAAGTTTTCTGTTGATATTTAAAAAAGGAGAAAGAAAAAGAAATCCAACCTTTTTACAGCCTTGTCGTTTATCCATTTGCTTATATGACTGAAGTTCCTGGTATTGTGATGAGTAAACTTAGAAAAAATTTTGCTACTATGAGGGAGTATGTTTACAGGGATAATGTTTCCTTCTTCCTGAGTTAGTTCCTGGCTGTGTCTCTCTTATGGGGCAGGTAGAATAACACCCTTGCATCCGTCTCCCCTGCATCATCCTAACTGTTGCTTTCTTGTGGGCATGGTAGCTGCTTGTCTCCAGTGTTGCATTCGGCGTGAGTGAGTGGGTTGGTTGCTAGCTGCCAGGGCCAGTCACTTCTGTTAGGTGATTGTTCCAGTCACATCTCTTGAATCTTTGACTTAGTTGTTTACTTATAAGCAGTTATTTTTAGCACTGGACCGCTTTTGCCCTTGGAGTCCATAGTCCTACTGGGGCCTCAGAGAAGGGGTGTAAGGTTATTATGTGACACCCCTGACCACATCAGCCATTGGGTAGTTTGTAACCAGTTATGGGTGTTTTTATTGTAAACTTCTGGGAAGGTAGGAAGAATTTTGGGGAAGAGCTTTTTGTAGCAAAAGCAGTACTAGGAGTTGCTTAGTCTGTATATCGGAGAGCTAATACCTGTGATGTAGATGGAAACTCACAGAGTCCGGACAGTGGCTCTATCTAACTCCTGGGTAAACCTAGCTGTTAGAAATTACCCAATGAAGCAGTAGTATTGAAGGGCTAGACAAGGCAGCCCAAGAGAGAACTATATGCTTCTAAGGAGCTCTCTTTGACTGGTCGGTACAGGGTGGCAAGACTGTGTGTGGCAGAGCCTCTCAGGATTGTTTGGGCAGCTGTGGTTTACAGAAGTGTTAGCGAACTTTCAGAGAGCTTTTGCCACTCCCATAGTGCTAAGGGTTTCCACTCAGCAAACGAGGCCACAGAAGTAGTGTTGTTGGCAGCAGCAGCCCCATTTTTGGGTTAGTGATGGCATTTGCTAGCAAAGGCTGGAAAGGCAGTGAGCATTCTCTGAAATAGCTTTGAGGTTGTGATGCCTATTTGGTGACTCCAAATGAGCGAACACAGCTTTGGAAGTGACTTTGGCATTAGACATTATGGGCGCTGTGGCGTTGGAAGTCTTCAGTTGGCCTGTACTAGCTTAAATACTTACTGGAATAGTGATGGGGCCTTTAGAGAGGATCCTAAGTCACTGTGTGTGAGGAACCTTTGGTTTCGCTAGGTGCTGCTATTTAGGAAGCTTCAGGTTTTGGTGGTTGACAGTGGCCAAGGCAATCTAATGATTCTGATGGTTCAAACCCCTAGAGGTTCCAGGAGGCATCTGTCTGACCATCAGGCTGCCTGTAGTTATGACACAGTATGGGGAGGGTAAGACCAGAAGATGGCTGTGATAGTGACAAGAGCTGAAGTTTTCACAGCAGCCAGTCAGAGAAAAGAATCTGAGAAGAGATCCGAGTTTTGGGATAGGTGAGGATGGCCTCAGTAGCCATAGCTCAAGTATGTGGGCTGTTGACCACTAGGACCTGGAGCATTTGGGCCAGTAACTCACTAACTTTGTATTCTACCACTGATAGAGTGACCATATGCCCCCACTTCCTAGATTGTGCCTATTGTCCTGTCATGATTTTCAAAATCCTCTTTTTACTCTTGTTCCCTAGCTACTGGTGAATTGGCCAGCGTGGTCTTCCTCCTGATCTAGCAGGTCTTTACGAATATTCATAACGGTTGTCAGATATTTTGGCTCATCTTTGAGACAAAACATTTAAGTGTATTTGGTGCTAGAAACAAAAGTGTCCCTTTGAGAATGGATACCAAGGGAGTGCATGGGGAGTAATCTGTGTTCTGGCTTTTTTGGTGGGGATGTGTTTGGGGTAGATGTTCCTAGTTACATATTTTAATTTACTCATTTCTCTTTTGAGGACATTTTTTTTTTTCATGTATGTGGAAGTTATAAGGGCTTTTTCAAGTATAAAAAATTTTTTTGTAGTTTTATGTTGCTGTGAAAGTAGTTTCGGTTCTAGGTGACCTGGATTCCACATTCTTCTGATCTATCCTATGAAACTGCATCATTAGGTTGATATTGATAAGTGTTTGTTGAATTATGGTCCTGGGGCACAGAAAAAAGCCTGGATCTTTTAGCCCACTTCTCTAACATCTTTCAGTGCATTTTCTCCTTCCCTCCCCTTTTTTTGGGGTGGGAGCATCTGTTTGGCCTCAGCTGTAGGAAGCTGTTACCCCACTAGAACAACCCAGATATTGTGCTCCTCACATAACATGAGGAATTCTGGGTAGGCTGTTGTAGAAGACTCTACTGACTTGAAGAGTCTTCCTTTTCTTTTAGCTTAGATCTGGTACATTTGTACAGGCTTCCAGGGCCACCTGTTGTAACAAGGCTGGGTGGCCTCTGTGGGCTGGTGGTGAGCAAACAGGAGGAAGCTGAAGCCATTGTGGCCCAAGCCTTTAAGTACCACAGACTTGAGTAATAAACTGGAATGCTGTAAAGCAGCCTGTGAGCACCATGTTATGGACACATGTTCCCACCTTGCCCAGAGGAGGACGGAGAAGCCAGTGACTCCTTTATGAGCAAGCTGGTTTTGAGTGAGGAACATTAGTAAATTTTTGACATGCTTGATGATTTTTTTTCCTTTAATGTTTTAATGCTTGTTTTGAAGTTCTTGAGTCATCACTTAAAGTAAGCAGAAGTTTGTGGCATTAACCAAGGCACTTTCTGACTTTAAATTATTGTGAACATAAAAAAAATATTGAAGATTTCTGCTTTAATGTGTTGACTATTTTCAGATGCCCATAGTATGATCACTATTTAAAATAAATAATATCAGCCATTGGGTTCTGTGGTAAATTATTTTTAGTAAAAACAGTGTTGGGCTATTTTTTATTTCCTTTCCCATTTTTAAGAACATCTAGAATTCTTTCCTGCTTAGGGCATTTACTTTAGTGTTTTACTTAGTCTTTTGGCTTTTTTTTTTTTTTTTTGAGTTTACTTCCTAAGTAAGAAAAGTTGAAAAATCATTACTGCTTTAGATACGTGATTACTCCTGTAGGTGTGTGTATGTGTATGTGTGTTAAAATAAATAGTGCTAAGATTTGAAATTGTCTGAAATTTGCTGTGGGATAATTGAAAGCAAAATACATAGTCCATGTTCTTTAGAAGATTATGGTCTAGTTTGGTCACGTGAGAGTGCTGCTTGTACACGTGAAGAACTGGAAAACTTCTGAGGCTACCTAAAATAAATTTGCATGGGATGGACTCTGCTTACTGTAAATGGAAGATCGTTGTGCCCTTGTTTAAGTTTTTGGAGTTGGTATCTTAAATTTGACTTAGAAGAACAGGTAAGATTTCAAAATAGCAGAGTGAGGTGTGATTTTCTGCAGGGCTGAGAAAGGCTGAACGACGGAGAAATGCTGAACTATGAAAGACTCTCAGGGATTAACTCAATGGCAGAGCTAGGTGGAGGGAAAGTCTAAGGATTCATTTCAAGGAGGTTAGGGGAAAAGGGTATGGTATAAGCAGTTGAGGATTTGCTTGCTCTCATTAAATAGGATGAAATTAGATTAAGGCGAAGTCAGGAATAGGAAGATAATAAGTGTCACTTACTGAGTGTTGACCATGTTCTAGCTACTGAGTGGAGTGCTGTACATATATCCCATGATGCTGGTACATTCTTCCCATTTTAAGACTCAGATATTAAGTAACAAACCCCAGGTGTGCAGCTTGGAAGTACTGAATCAGGTTTTGGGAAAAAATCTCACTCATGAGTCTATTCTTAAACACTGTGCTAAGAAATCAGTTAAGCTTTGCATGGCTGGTAGTGTTTTAAGGGCAGAAAATAAGGGTTAAAAGTAGTTTTGAAAACTATTGGCCTAGGTGCACGTGGGTGACTTGCTTGGTTAAGCATCCAACTTTGGCTCAGCTCATGATCTCACAGTCCGTGGGTTTGAGCCCCGTGTCGGGCACTCTGTGCTGACAGCTTGGAGCCTGGAGCCTGCTCAGATTCTGTATCTCCCTTTCTCTCTCTGCCTCTCCCCTGCTCGTGTTCTGTTTCTGTCTCTCAGGAATGAATAAATGTTAAAAAAATAATAATAATAAAATAAAATCATCAGCCTAAGCTGATTTTCTGCCAGTAGATAGAGCATCTACATGGGCGAGGCAAAATGCTGACTATGTTACAAAATGGTGTAAAGCTATAAAAAGTGAAAGATAGGATATTTAAGATATTTCTGGGTGAACCATCTGTAACTGCCTTTTATGTAGGTATGACTGGTATAAGAGAAGAAAAAAACCCCAATGGAAGAAAAGTGTTAGATTTAGCCATATAGATACAGATAGGTGAGGTCAGATATGTATAGCTCTAAAGTTTTGTGATGTAATAGATAAATGCTTATGTAGTAGAGAAATGTTACTGTTGATGAAGGAAAAAGGAAATTAAAATGACTAGAAATAGAAAATTCACTGTGAGAAGAAAATGTTGAGTTCTCAAATATAGACAGATAATTTGATAATACATTTTGAGTGAAATTTTTAGAATTACTGAAAAGGAATGGTTAACAAAGTTATGAAAAAGGCAAGAATAATTAAAAGCCAAGAATGTATTCCTCTAAAAATAAAATAAAACATGTCAAACTTTCTCCCTGAATTACTAGTGAGTAATCCAAGGAAATGTAGTAGACTGTGTGTCTAAATAAAAATCTCATACCTTTGTGGTCAAGATGGAAGATGTTTGTTTTTAAATTATGTGATTTGGCTAGGAGCATCTACATTCTCAATACCTTGTTGGGTTTGGCCATAGT